TCAGAATTTTTTAATTTTAAAAGTCTAGTGTATTTTTTGAAGATTAGAATTTCCAAAAATTTTTCAAAACAAAATTACCGGAAATTTTTGAAGAAGTAAAAAAGAACTTACATCAATGGTTTGGAAAGATTTTTTGCAGTGATGACAACTTCTGTGACAAAAAATGTGGTCGATCCAATAATTGTTACTTTTTTTTCGCTGTAGTCACAGCTTAAATGCAGACATTTTTTTTATTACTGTAAAATTATATGTTTTAGAAAAGTTGGAACACACGCAGAATTGTCTGATATCATAATTTAAAGCTTTAAAATTATTAGTTAGATATCGAAAAGAAAGAAATTGATTTGGCAGGGAAGTGTAACGAATGTTCAAGAAAATCTCTAAAATTGATAATTTTAAATTATGAACAAATGTCATATAATTTTTTCAGAACACTGCTGGATTTAAAAAAAATATGAATACACGTAAATTTATTGAGTATTCACACGTAGAAACGTTTGCAGAAAAAAAAAAGAAAATACCAACATTTCAATCTTTAAATGCTGGTCTCGTTTAAATGTATACTCCACTGAGAATGCATTAGGAATTGAAATTATATCTGTTTTGTGAATAATCTCCGTCGTTGCAACCTACAAAATTTCCTTCGGTAAGTCTTTTGTTTTAAATTTTCATGTTCAAAATTCAACGTTTTCAAACAGGTAGATTAGTTAAAGTAAACAAACTTCATTTTTTTCTTCATGAATTAATCTTTCATTTCTGCACAGTTAATTAGACAATTTATTTACTTATGTATTAATATGATATCCTTTTTAATTCGTCTGCTTAAAATAATGAACTTACACGTTTCCAAGAGCTTCCTAGACCATTTTCGTTTACAGATATTAAACAAATTACATCATCAAATGAAAATAAATCGGTTTTCAATCCACTGAAATGAAACAGTTATTTATGGTTGAATGCAATTGATGTTTTTTAAAATTTAAACTTTCACATCATTGTAATATGCAACCATTATATCCATGTTGTTGACTTCATTTGCCCTATTTCTCGAACATATTTTTACTGAAACGTTGATAAATAATGAATGTTTAATCATTGAAATATATTAAAATGTTTTTTTTTGTTGTTTTTGACTGACATTTTTAGGTAAACAAACCTAATATGTAGGTCGATTTCGAGAATATCTTTTGCAGACACTTTCTTGCAGCATGACCCATCACCAAAAGGCTTTTCACGGCTGTAATGCTGCACATCGAAGGATTCCAGAAACTTTAATTCAAACATATGAATTTTAGTAACGGTTAAAGCTATTTTTCCTGATGGCCTAAGATAATATTAAAATTTTGAAATTAATAACCACAAATGTTTTTGCAAACAAATTAATGCACTAAAAATTCGTTTCTATCTAAAATGAATTTAAACAAAAGAAATTGTTAGCATGAGAAATCGAGTATTTGGTGTTTTTATATTTCAAAAAACTTTTGACAAAATAAACTCAAGAAAATTTCATTTCATTACCATATCAATAACTGAGTCAGCTCTCGTTAATATCATTAAGTAATAATTAGAAATAAGTTAAAAACAAAAAATTTTGAAAAACTTATGAAGAAATTCGGGAATATGGAATTAGAAGAATTGAGAACAAATAGATTGGTGTTTATAATGTGTCGTATTTATAATTTCAAAACTTCATCTCTTAAAAAACAAAAAATTATAGCATTTCAATTTTTCAAAAATGGATAAAAGCATTATAATGTCCATTCCAAGAAGGCGTATTTTTATTCGAAAAAAAAGAGATTATGTATCAAAAAACAGATAAACTAATAAAACGGCTATCTTGAATAGAATGCTAAATTTTCTCATATAGTTGAAATACTCTTAAATCTAAATACTTTAATAAAAATTTAAAAAAGAACCTTTTCGAAATGGGCGGTAGTAATGGACCAGCTTTAACCGCTTTTCGAAGAGCAATAATCTGTCGTATCCTAGTCATATTCATAATGATTGAACTTTTGTATCTCAAAAAAAAAGAAGCATACATTATAAATAATATTTCTTTGGCAATTCAAATGATACACTTTGTTAAAAAAGTAGTAGCAATTTAAAAAATTTTTGAAAAGAAAATTTGAATACAAAAATTAACTTGGAAATGGAAATCAGAGAAATAAAGATATGTATAGATAGGAAACGAAGCAGATAAGCTTTTTCTTTTAGAATATGAGTGATTTAGAAAAGTTAACAGTTATGTTTCGATGGTGAAAAAAAAAAATTTCAGTATTGAAACGTTGAGATCCAGCAGAACAGCATAATGAATGTGAGATCATATGGATTTGATGATAAGTGGCAGTCAACCGGAAAGACCGCTACTTATCAACAAATTCATAAGGATCCCATTAGTTTCTTGCCAAATTTTTTGCTCAGTTTTGGCAAGTAAGAAAACTTTTAAACCTTTTTAAAAAAAAAAGAGGGAAAGAGAAAATAAAATGATTATCCTTTTATCAACACTTCACTTGGTCCAATTTAAATATTTAACTGAAATTCCATTCCGCAGAATTTCCAGCTTTAGATGCCCAATAATTTAGCATGGATAAACAAATTTTTTTGAGCGCAATCATTTCAGGCAATTCAAAGGAATAAAAGTTAAAGGGTAGATGAAAATGATGAACACTTTAAAAGGAATATCAATATGTAAGAAGCTAAAAACAATTAGTGTTGGAATATAGTATTAGCACGTTAAGACCATAAATTATTACTACCATTATCAATGATATAATTTAGTGCATAGGAAAAATAGAAAATTATAAAAGATTTTTAAGTTTAGTAAATTATACTTTAATCTCGTTTTCTTTTCCATATGCCTTTCTTAATGGAACGAAGTCTTTTGATGGCAGCGATTTATTAATCAAAAAAAAACTTCAATAAATGAATTTTTTTTCATTTTTTTCTCTTAGAATTAAATAATGTATGAGATAGAAGAATATCGTAGCAGTTAACACTTGAAATGTTAAGTGGCATTTTAAAATGTTATGGTATATATGGTATATATTTTAGCTTTTCAAAATATGAAATGTATCGTTTTATACTGAAAAATTATATTATTATTTCATTAATTTCGTATTTTACTTTGAAAATGATGCAATAAATAACTATGCATAGTAAAGTTGTAAAGTAGATATGGATGACAATTTCCGAATTTGAATATGAGAACTTTCAAAAATTTTCAAATTCTGGTTTAATGCGTTCCTCTTACACATAAAAATATTTCACCTAAAACATATATAATAAATATTTATAGCAGGAAGATTCCTGAACAGAGCTTCAGTAGAGGATTTTGCTTAATGTTAATAATTTTTCATTTAAATTTATTTAGCATTTCACAAATAATGCTTTTTATCATTCTGGAAAGAAAAAAGCAAGCTGATTTACAATGTGTTGATAATGAATTCAAGAAATAAAATTGGAGAAAAAAAGAAGCAATAAACTGTTAGTTTTGCGGAATTCTGTATGAAACACGAATATTACATACTGCACACGCCAAACATTACATACGTTACATATTATCACCAAACATTTTTCTGCTTTAGTACCAACTATTTCAATAGTTTACAATTTTAGAAACACATCTGATTCAAAAATAAATTCTAAATTCTCAACTTTAGATTTCTTTCATTTAAAAATTACTATTGGAAGAACTGAAAAAAAGGCATTTAACTTGCATAAAGGACATTAAACTTTATATTTTATTGTTCATTTGTATTTTCTGAGTAATCAAATTTCATTTCAATATTTGATAGTTCTATGCCAACTTATCCAAAAATACAATATAACATTATTTTCCGTTGATAATTACAATTGAAAGTTGAAAAAGTTCTGTTTAACTTTCAATTGCAATTATCAATGGAAAATAATGTTATATTTATTTTTGGATCAGTTAGAAAAGTAAAAAGTCGAAAGATCGTTCCTCTTAATTGCTGAATTTTTTGATCTCATATCTTCAAAGAATTTACATACGTCTGTAATAATAATGAAACAATTATAATGATGAAATAATCAAAATTTATTAATAATGTTATTGTGGTCATCCAAATAACAGTGCATATTCCTTGATTTACAATAAATTGATAAGCTTAATTTTTATGATATTATATTTTTGAAAACATTACACTTCTTTTTCAGAGAGAACAGAAACGTGAAGAAATTGAAGTTTCAAGGATATATGTGCAATGAAATATTTTTATTTAATATTTCAATAATTACATCAGTATGCTTAAATTAAGCAGTCAGTAATTAATAGACTATTAATTAATCACAATATAATTAATCTTATGATTAGTTTTGAAAGAAATTAAACTTTCGTTCGCAAAAAAAAACTCGCATTTTCTTTAATCATTTTAAAATTGATATTGCACGAAAGGAGTACTTTTAACTTTTTTATTTGCATTTTCATTTCCTAATTTGAAACGAATTTCTGCAATTATTGAAATTATATTCTATAATGATAATGTCTAGCTCTCACTCGTATGCAAAGTTAAAAGTATTGATGCTATTGAAATCATTGGTATTGATAATGTCGACTCATTCTTCATTATTTTGATCATTTAAAAATGCATCGTAATTTGAAATAAAGATTTGAAAAAAATTATCATTACAACGAATTAATAAATTTTAGTTTTGAAAATCTAGCAAGCAAACATACATGTTTTGGATTATGAATTCAAAAAATTTGTTTTATAAAAAATATTTTCAAAAAATTATACAACATTCACTTAATTGAAAATTTCATTTATTTTAAAAAGTCAATCATTAAACGTCTTATCCGTTTTTTCATCCTTTCATCTTACTTAATTTCACTAAAGTTAGAAGCTAGAAAGAAGAAAGATTTAGAGAAAAAAAGAAGAAAAAATTAAAAAATTCCTGCTTTTAGTTTAAATATAGTCACACTGCTCTCACTATTTTTTCACTTAGCTTCGTATTAATTTATTAAAATTAATAATCAAGAGGAAAAAATTGAATTAGTCAGTACTAATCAATGTTAATTTAGCAATAGTTTTTAGAAAGAACTTCTATGAATTGCATATATAAGTAATTTTTTACAAACAGACAGATGGATACGAAAGTAATTGAAAAAATTCTATCTTATCGAACAGCTGCTTTTCTAAAGTATTAGAATCAAGCATGTATTAACATCTTTTTTTATTCTTTCTTAAAATTAATTCTATCATTTATGCTTGAAAATTTTCAAGTTTAAAAACATCACAAAATTGTACCAAAAAATCCAGTAAAATTAAATTTGTTAATGTAAAAGCTGACAATATTATATCTTCTGAACAAATTGGTCTATAAATTGGAAATAATGTCATTGTGCGAAGTTAAAGGTCATGACAATACGCTTTCAAGCATACTTCCTTAATGTTTCCTTGACTACTGCTATTCTGACATCAGTTATAATTCTTAAAGTTCTTTTTTTTTTTAAGAAAATTATAGAAAATTTTGGGAGATATTGTGAAATCAAATTATCAGTGGGAAAATTAGCGCTCTTTTACAAGAAATATTAAAATTTTAATGGAAAGAATAAATGGATTTTTGCTTTCCTATCTTTTATTCCGAGGAGAAGCAATCATCAGATGATTAAATTAGTTGATATCGTGATCAATTATATTTTCTTTTTTCATCATTATCCGGGATTTGTCTTTTATACAAGAAATGCTGGTACAAATGCAAACATATGTAATATAAAACAATCTTAAACTTTCGCAGGAATTTTTCGTAAAATAAAATCATTCAGTTAAATGGTATAATAATTGTGATAGGGAGAGAAAAATGGGTGAAAATTTATTAGCGTATTTGAATGTTGAGGGTAAGTAAACAGAATGTGGTACCAAACGGGAAGCTATATTTCAAGCATTCATAAAGTTTGCTGCAATTTTCGAAACCGCTAATCTATAGAAAGCATCAAACACATACTAGTCATTGCCAAATCATTCATGCAGAAGTAATTACTAAAAAAATGCACAAAAAAAGGGAGAGAGATATTGTTCAATAAGGTTAATTATTAAATACGTTTATAAGTTTATTGCAAGGAATTTTCAAGTTAACTTTTGCTCAAGCAAAATTTGAGAAATTGAAATGATTAAGCAAAAATAATCTAACAAAAAAAGGCGAAAAAAATTCCGTTAAAAAAATAATCTAATATTTTTCCAGTGTTAAGTTAAAGTGAAGGATGAAAAAAAAAACAAAATAACAACATATTGTTAGAAAAATTTTACGATGAGAAAATTATCTACAATTTAAGAGGTAACAATTTGCAAAGTAATGCAATTTGAATTATAATAAAATATACATATATTAGTGTGAGATCATAAAAGGATTTCAAAAATAAAATCATTTCAATTAATTATTTGAT